TGGCCCACCATCAGGAACACAGGGCGGCAGTCAACAGGTAGAGAGGGGGCACAGAAAGTACTGATTAATGACCTGTATAAAAAGAGAAGTGCATCATCAAGGGGAATAACTCTTCTAAGCACTAACATTTGTCTTCTCTATGTAATACTATTCAGCAATGACTTTATTGAAATTTAACTGCCTTAGCAAGATAATTTGTTATTATATACTAGTACATGTACATAATTAAAGAATGTCATCTACTGGCAGGATTCAAGTTTCTCAAGACCATGCATTCTTTACCCGCGGCCTCCAATGATGGTACAGTCAAATGGGAGTCTGAAAAACTGGAGGGAAACAGTGTTGCTAACCGCTCTAAACAGACCCTCAAGAATACTTCTGTACCTGGTAAAATAACAAATTACTTTGATATACACTGTATTATGTCATTAATAAGGGCCCCGCTTGGCAGGCGCCCTATAGTGATCAGTTTGTCCGTCCGACTGTCCGTCCGTCTGAGATCTCTTGTCCGGAGCATATTTTCTCTCTCCTTGGCCCAAACTGGCTCATACTTCACCCACAGAGTGCCTTTGGGTAACTGATGTGCAGTGACCTTGAACCATGTTCATAGGTCAAATGTCAAGGCCAGAGCAGAATTTTATGAAAATTCCTTGTCCGGGGCATATCTTCTCTCTCCTTGGCCCAATCTGGCCCATACTTCGCCCACAGAGGGCTTCTAAAAAACCGGTGTGCAGTGACCATGAACCATGATCCTAGGTCAAAGGTCAAGGTCATAACAGAATTTTATGAAAATTCCTTGTCCAGAGCATATCTTCTCTCTCCTTGGCCCAATCTGGCTCATACTTCACCCACATTGTGCCTTTGTGTAACTGATGTGCAGTGACCTTGAACCATGTTTCTAGGTCAGAGATCAAGGTCATAGCAGACTTTCATGAAAAATCCTTGTCCGGAGCATATCTTCTCTCTCCTTGGCCCAATCTGTCTATTACTTCACTCACAGAGTTCCACTGGTCAATGGATGTGCAGTGACCTTGGCCAAAGTTTCTAGGTCATGGTCAGAATAAGCCTCTCTGTTTAAAATCTTTGTTTGGTGCATAATTTTTTCCCTTTAATTCCAGTAAATTTATATAAATGGGGATACAAGATAACTTCGATATATATCTGTAAATTTACAGTATCCATGAAGTCACACTAAATGACTTTTGCTGTATTTCACAAATGTTCCTGTATTACACAAATGTTCCACTTCAAAATAAACCCTTTTAAACTACCTTACATTTTCATGTTCATGGTTGAAATGGGGCCCTTTGAGATGGCCACCATCTCAATGATATCTAATTTTTTTTTTAATGAATATCCAATTTTCTGTAAATCGTCAGAAAAAAATTTAAGATGAAAGAAAAATATATGTGATTTTTTAAAATTATCTGATTTATACTTCAATATAGATATGTATAAGTGCTGATTATTGCTTTGTTTGATTTGGAGAGAAAGTGAAAGGTTTAGTTTTCTGTGAAGCTCCTGGATCTGCTTTCTCTCTGGCCACACTACCGACATGGGGGCAATCAACATTTACAAGTCAGAAGAGGGTTTTATAAATTGAAGTTAGATATAAATGAATTGTTTCTTTTATTGATTTGCTTTTTTAGCTCACCTGAGCCGAAGGCTCAAGTGAGCTTTTCTGATCACATTTTGTCCGTCGTCCGTCCGTCTGTCCGTCCGTCTGTCCGTCTAGCTGTCCGTCTGTCTGTCCGTCTGTAAACTTTTCACATTTTCGACTTCTTCTCAAGAACCACTAGGCCAATTTTGACCAAACCTGGTACAAAGCATCCTTGGGTGAAGGGGAATTTAAATTGTTAAAATGAAGGGACATATCCCCTCGCAAGGGGAGATAATCAAGAAAAGACAAAAATAGGGTTGGGTCATTAAAAAATCTTCTTCTCAAGAACCACTGGGCCAGAAAAGCTGAAACTTATGTGGAAGCATCCTGGTATAGTGTAGATTCTAAATTGTTCACATCATGACCCCCGGGGGAAGGGCGGGGCCACAATGGGGGATCAAATTTTTATATAGAAATATATAGGAAAAATCTTCTTCTCAAGAACCACTTGGCCAGATAAGCTGAAACTTATGTGGAAGCATCCTGGTATAGTGTAGATTCTAAATTGTTCACATCATGACCCCCGGGGGAAGGGCGGGGCCACAATGGGGGATCAAATTTTTATATAGAAATATATAGGAAAAATCTTTGAAAATCTTCCTCTAAAGAACCACTGGGGCAGAAAAGCTGAAACTTATGTGGAAGCATCCTGGTATAGTGTAGATTCTAAATTGTTCAAATCATGACCCCCGGGGGAAGGGCGGGGCCACAATAGGATATCAAAGTTTTATATAGAAAGATATAGGAAAAATCTTTGAAAATCTTCTGCTCAAGAACCACTGGGCCAGAAAAGCTGAAACTTATGTGGAAGCATCCTGGTATAATGTAGATTCTAAATTGTTCCAATAATGACCCCCGGGGGAAGGGCGAGGCCACAATTGGGAATCAAAGTTTTATATAGAAATATATAGGAAAAATCTTTGAAAATCTTCTTCTCAAGAACAACTTGGCCAGAAAAGCTGAAACTTATGTGGAAGCATCCTGGGGTAGTGTAGATTCTAAATTGTTCACTCCATGACCCCCGGGGGAAGGGCGGGGCCACAATGGGGAATCAAAGTTTTATATAGAAATATATAAGAAAAATCTTTGAAAATCTTCTTCTCAAGAACCACTGGGCCAGAAAAGCTGAAACTTATGTGGAAGCATGCTGGTATAATTTAGATTCTATTGTTCAAATAATGACCCCTGGAGGAAGGGTGGGGCCACAATGGGGAATCAAAGTTTTATATAGAAAGATATAAGTAAGATATAGGAAAAATCTTTGAAAATCTTCTTCTCAAGAACCACTGGGCCAGAAAAAGTGAAGCTTATGTGGAAGCATTCTGGGGTAGTGTAAATTCTAAATTGTAGGAATCATGTGTCTTTTATCATAAAAATAACTGTCCTTCATTATTGTTAAGTTTTTAGCTCACCTGAGCCGAAGGCTCAAGTGAGCTTTTCTGATCACATTTTGTCCGGCGTCCGTCTGTCCGTCTGTCTGTCTGTAAACTTTTCACATTTTCGACTTCTTCTCAAGAACCGCTGGGCCAATTTCAACCAAACATGCCACAAAGTATCCTTGGGTGAAGGGGATTCAAGTTTGTTCAAATGAAGGGCCACGCCCTTATTCAAGGGGAGATAATTGGGAATTAATGAAAATTTAGTGGTATATTTTAAAAATCTTCTTCTCAAGAACCACTGTGCCAGGAAAGATGAAACTTATGGGGAAACATCCTCAGGTAGTGTAGATTTAATTTTATTCAAATCATGACCCCCGGGGGTAGGGCGGGGCCAAAATGGCCCACCAAAGTTTTACGTAGAAATATATAGGAAAATTCTTTAAAAATCTTCTTCTCAAGAATGACAGAGCCATAATTCATCATATTTATATGGGAGCATGCTCATGTAGTGTAGATTCAAGTTTGTTCAAATCATGACCCCCCGGGTAAGGGCGGGGCCAAAATGGCCGACCAAAGTTTTACATAGAAATATATAGGAAAATTCTTTAAAAATCTTCTTCTCAAGAATGACAAAGCCATAATTCATCATATTTATATGGAAACATGCTCAGGTAGTGTAGATTCAAGTTTGTTCAAATCATGACCCCTGGGGGTAGGGCGGGGCCAAAATGGCCGACCAAAGTTTTACATAGAAATATATAGGAAAATTCTTTAAAAATCTTCTTCTCAAGAATGACAAAGCCATAATTCATCATATATATATGGAAGCATGCTCAGGTAGTGTAGATTCAAGTTTGTTCAAATCATGACCCCCGGGGGTAGGGCGGGGCCAAAATGGCCCACCAAAGTTTTACATAGAAATATATAGGAAAATTCTTTAAAAATCTTCTTCTCAAGATTGACAAAGCCATAATTCATCATATTTATTTGGAAACATGCTCAGGTAGTGTAGATTCAAGTTTGTTCAAATCATGACCCCTGGGGGTAGGGCGGGGCCAAAATGGGCGACCAAAGTTTTACATAGAAATATATAGCAAAATTCTTTAAAAATCTTCTTCTCAAGAATGACAATGCCATAATTCATCATATATATATATGGAAGCATGCTCAGGTAGTGTAGATTCAAGTTTGTTCAAATCATGACCCCGGGGGGTAGGGCGGGGCCAAAATGGGCGACCAAAGTTTTACATAGAAATATATAGGAAAATTCTTTAAAAATCTTCTTCTCAAGAATGACAAAGCCATAATTCATCATATTTATATGGAAGCATGCTCAGGTAGTGTAGATTCAAGTTTGTTCAAATCATGACCCCGGGGGGTAGGGCGGGGCCAAGATGGCCGACCAATGTTTTACATAGAAATGTATAGGAAAATTCTTTAAAAATCTTCTCAAGAATGACAAAGCCATAATTCATCATATATATATGGAAGCATGCTCAGGTAGTGTAGATTCAAGTTTATTCAAATCATGATCCCCGGGGGTAGGGCGGGGCCAAAATGGCCGACCAAGGTTTTACTTAGAGATATATAGGAAAATTCTTTAAAAATCTTCTTCTCAAGAATGACAAAGCCGTTATTCATCATATTTATATGGAAGCATGTTCAGGTAGTGTAGATTCAATTTTGTTCAAATCATCATCATATAGGAAAATTCTTTAAAAATCTTCTTCGCAATCATTTTCTAAAAAATAGCAAATCCATGATTGGTCATGGGACTACTTTTGGATTTAAACTTTACAATAAAAAGCCATTTTATACTAGTCCTACCCTTGGTGCTCAGGTGAGCGATGTGGCCCATGGGCCTCTTGTTATATTGATAATTATATTGCTATGGACAGGTGCCTGTATTATTGGTAAGTTTTTATATTGATAATTTTCTTGCTATGGACAGGTGCCCGAGTAAGGAGGTTGATCATGCACCCCCAGGAGCAGTCCTGACTGATCTCGGCCACCCAGGGAAATAATGAGATGTCCATATGGGACGTAGAGACGGGGGGCCAGACAAAAAGCCTGTGGGCAAGTCCTTCACCCACACTCAGTCTCAGTCAGGTCAGTGTCTATATACATCTTGAATTGGTCACATGAAAACCTCTAAGAAAGTTTTATTACATGTTATCATTAAGTTAAGAAGAATCAGATTGCTATAGAGTCAAAATGAAAAGAATCTCATTTTGTTTTTTTTACTTTTTAGCTCACCTGAGCCAAAGGCTCAAATGAGCTTTTCTGATCAAAATTTGTCTGTTGTCTGTCGCCGGCATCGTAAACTTTTCACATTTCCATCTTCTCCTTACTGGGCCACTGGACCAATTTCAACCAAACTTCCCACAAAGCATCCTTGGGTGAAGGGGATTCAAGTTTGTTCAAATGAAGGCCACACCCTCATTCAAAGTGAGATAATTGGGAATTAATGAAAAATTTGGTGGGATGTTATAAAAAAATATTCTTCTCAAGAACCACTGTGCCAGGAAAGATGAAACTCATGTAAAAGCATCCTCAGGTAGTGTAGATTCTCGTTTTTTAAAATCATGGGTAGGGTGGGTCCATAATGGCTGACCGAAGTTTTACATAGAAATATATATATATATAGGAAAATTCTTTAAAAATCTTCTTCTCAAGAATAACAAAGCCATAATTCATTATATTTATACAGAAGCATCCTCAGGTAGTGTAGATTCAAGTTTGTTCAAATCATGACCCCCTGGACTCTTGGGTAGGGGAGGCAAAATGGCCGACCAAAGTTTTATATAGAAATATATATTAGGAAAACTTTTTTGAAATCTTCTTTCCAAGAATAGCAAAGCCAAAATTTATCATATTCATATGGAAGCATCTTCAGTTTGTGTAGATTCCATTTTGTTCAAACCATGACCCCCGGGGGCAGGGCGGGGCTACAAAGCCGATCAAAGTTTTACATAGACATATATAGAAAAATTCTTTAAAAATCATCTTTTCAAGAATAGCAAAGCCATGTTTGGTCATGAGACTACTGAAGATCACTAAATTTTCGCGACACCTTATTTTCTCGAGATAGTCATTGACTCTTGATTAGCGAGACAAAATTTTCACAAATTGTGGTTATTGCTCTATATAATCTTAAGGAATACTTTTATAAGCGAAAATTAAATTTTCGCGAGCACATTGTCTCGCGTAATTACGCGAAAATAAAGTTCTCGCAAATAAAAAGTGATTTACAGTACTTTTGGATTTAAACTTTTTAATAATAAACCAATTTCTCATTTTTCCACAATGCTCAGCCCATGGGCCTCTTGTTTTTTTCGAAGATCTACTGTTCTGCAGCTAGGATATAGAACTAATTTTCCTACTGAACATTGTTTATTACATTCATACATTTATGTATTTATATTCCCTCATTTCTTTGCATTCCCTTCACATCAACTTTAATAAATATAAGTTCTTCTGAAGCCTTATTTTATTTGCAGATTTTTATTAAAGTTTATATAATAAGAAATTGTACACAACTTCAACAGTTGGGTAATTTTATTGACAGGATACATGTAGTACCAGTACTGGACATGTATATTAAGCAGTGTGTTCTTTATAGTTTAGAATTAGATATTCATAAAGTAAATTTCTGTAGAAAGATCTTAGATGGGTCTTCTTAATGTCCATTATTTTGCTATTTTTTGGGGGGGGATTAAAACTGCAAAATACAAAACTCCTGTAGAAAGATCTTAGATGGGTCTACTTTATGTCCACTATTTTGATATATATATTTTTTTTTGGGGGGGGGGGAAGGGGGGATTAAAATTGCAAAATTTCCTTAGCCAGAGAATATATGAAAACAAATCCCTCAGTGTCAAATTTTGTAAAAGTCCAAGGAAACTTACACTCCCTGTTCTCTGTTTTGTAGATTAATTGTGCAATACAGTTTTTACTGTAGATTGATTGTGCAATACAGTTTTTACTGGGCGTGATGCAGGACAAGCAGAAGAAATACAACAAACACGCGGACCAGTTTCAGCAGATCTCAGAGACACTCTCCATTCTTAACCGGGTTAAGGGTCAGCATGCAGAACCTGGTCCCCAAGATGGAGCGCTTGAACCGGATGTTGCCACCGGAGGACCATCGGGAACCGCTGAGTCTGAAGAGCCAGTTGTTAGAACCAGATGTTACCACCGGAGAACTGACTGGAACCGCTGAGTCTGAAGAGTCAGTTGTTAGAACCAGATGTTACCACCAGAGGACCGACTGGAACCGCTGAGTCTGAAGAGTCAGTTGTTAGAACCAGATGTTACCACCAGAGGATCGACTGGAACCACTGAGTCTGAAGAGCCAGTTGTTAGAACCAGATGTTACCACCAGAGGACCGACTGGAACCGCTGAGTCTGAAGAGCCAGTTGTGAGAACCAGATGTTACCACCGGAGGACCGACTGGAACCGCTGAGTCTGAAGAGCCAGTTGTGAGAACCAGATGTTACCACCGGAGGACCGACTGGAACTGCTGAGTTTGAAGAACCAGTTGTTAGAACGAGATCCGGATGAAGAGCAGGGGAACCAGCAAAATGTGTAACTAGTTTAAACGGAACTGGTCACTTTTATATTTATGTAAACTTATTTTGTAAATGAACTTAAATTTAAGTTCTCATTGTGTTCATTTAAATTTTTATACCTGTCATACCGAAATTCAAGCTATCACTTGGATATTTGATATCCTTTTGTTGTTGAGAACTTGGATAATTAACAAAGTTTTCATTAAGTCTAGAACTTCCTTGGACTTCCTTTTTAAAAAAATTTCAAACAATTCTCTTTTTCAAATTACTGCAAGTTGAATCTAGTCTTACTGTATCTTGATCACATGAACATTAATCTTTGAGATGTACTATATTGTACATGTAGGTAGTATTGCTGTGTGATATCTCTCCCTACTTTTAGGAAGTAAACTTATATTAGGTATGGTGACTATTGACCAGTTATTCAAAAGAGTTATTGCCCTTAGACCATGAAAAATTTCTAATTTTTTTCTTACTTTGCTGACCTGGTAGTATGTATTGGGTTAGTTTGCACTATATACTTATATTTAAGAAATAAAGTCCGCGTTTTTGTGAATGTTGCAGAATAACCTCCGAGGTCGAGAAATGTTGTTTGAAAGATAAAAGTCGAGACGCTAGCTGAGGCTTTTATATTTCAAACAACATTTCGAGACCGAGGCCAAGTATGGTACAAACGCTAAATTAGGGATAATCGTTTCCTCGATTACGCTGTTTCATTTAACACCAGAGGTAAAATTTGTTTGCTTACCTGTGTATAGAATGCAGACGATTTGAGCTTTTGTTACATCAAAAATAGCCTTTTTAAATTACAAATATGTTCGTAATATGTATTGATCAGTTAAAAAGAATATATACAATAACAAAATCATGTTCCTGTTTTACTGCTAAAATCATGTTTAATGTGTAGGGAGGTATTAGTGGAATAGCCCCGCTTAGCTATAAAAACCGACATTCATCAGCAACTTGATGCAATTTACAGTGTTTATACTGCAAAAGATGACACATCGATGCGGTCTAAACAAGTATTTCATTCTACAGCCAAACATGCATTTGAATTGTTAAGATTTGATACGTGTTTCTGATCTGATAATTTTTTGATGACGTTTGTGATTTATTGGAGAATAATGTCCGGAGGTTTCCTATGATGTTTACGATAATCGTGGTAGAATTCAAATTTAAGGACAGGTGACACAAACAAATGGATGTATGGACTGATATTTATTTAACATTGTAATTTGGTTGTGAATGATGTAAAATATTGAATTTCTAAAATCATAAGAAGGTGTAAAATTATTAACATTCAGATTTCTATGATTTGTTCAAAATGTTACTTTTTGGCCATCATCCTTATAAATATCTACTTTTATTACTAATATGACATTATTATGAAACTTTTAAATGAAAAACTACAGATTTATGCTGTTATTTTTTAGAAAAAAAGTTTGTATATTATGTTCTCAGGTTTCTTTTTTTTTTAATTAATCAGTGTTCAAGAGAGTTATTGCCCTTAGACTGTGGAAATTTCTAATTGCTCACTGTAAGATGCATGTTATTGATAAACTAATCTGTAGAATTTATAATTTATAATTAATTATTATCTTCATTAATTCATAATTAGACCATACATTTTTTTAACACATGTCAGCTTTATATAACTTTCTTAAGTCATGTGAATTAAGAATGTTGGTATTCAATAAATTTTATTTTAATGTAGTGTTTTCACTGGTAAATATTACTATTTGTTCAGACATTACTCTTGTAAATTTGATTTGGGAAATGCATGGATTCATTAATTATGGTAAAAAAAACTTTTTCAAATGATTGGTTTCTGTTTGAATAATCAGATTAAATCAACATATGAATATCTATACATGCATTTATAAAGTTTTTTAATACACAACTTTCAAATTTGTATGTTTTTATTCTATTGATATTAAAACATTCCGTACACATACAGTGTTTTACATTATTATGCTGGTTCAGACTTAAAAGGTCGCCCACATGGCGCAGTGGAAGAACATCTGCTTTATAGAGTCAAGGAGTAGGGTTCAAATCCCATGGAGACCGACCCTTTGGATGGGGCCAAATAAACAGAGGTCCTGTGTGGCAGTAGATGTTGGCACGAAAAAAATCTCACGGCTCATTTAATGGTCCCAAGTGTTGAGTTTAGGTCAAACTTGGCAGCGCTCCATCGGCAAGTAGTGTCCGCCATATTTGATAGAACTCCCTATATATCTGAGGACCCCTTTATAAAGAGCAGCTCACTTAGTCACTGTTCAGTGTAATCAATTGTCACTGGTACATAAAGAGCAGCTCACTTAGTCACTGTTCAGTGTAATCAATTGTCACTGGTACATGCTATAAAGCACTCGTAGAGACAGATAAATATCTTTATTGAATGGTATCAAGTTAATTGGAGTTGTTAACTGTGTACAGTAGGATTAGACATGACGACTTGTAAGACTGAATTTATGTGGAATAGCCAGAAAAAAGAATTACAGCAGTTTCCATGCCATGGCCTTTTGAAAGAATTATAGGAATGTCTAACTCTGTTTTCATGGTATATACGAGGGCCGTTCAAAAATTACGCGGACTTGTTGCACAGAAGTAATATTTGACGACATAATAGGGCAAAATTTCACAAATAATATAAAAGAATCTTTTCTTATATGGTCTTCAAAATTTCATATCAAAATGTTGTAAATTGGTATCAATTTTGAGTGATTTTTCAGGACATACCATTAAGTCACGGCGCAGCAAAATCTTCGACGTCACAAGCATTATAAAAAATATGTGATTGAGCTTTCATTTTCTCAACATTTTCCCTTGAGTACCTGTATAGTTTGAGTTACCTTATCTACTCAACATCAAAACACCATTTCTTGTCAAGCTTAAAAGCTATTAAACAAGTAAAGAATATTCTTTTTTTTTGTTTTAAAACAAAAAACTACTTATGAGATATAGTGTGATATTGGTGACTCTCAATCACGTTCTTTACAGTCCGGATAAAGTTAACTTTTCGTCTATAATCTTCTTCCCGTCCTCCCGTATAGCCTTTTTACAGAGGTCTAACTGTCTAAATTTCAATTTGCTATTTGTGGGCGAATGTCACGAGTAGCCTAGCTTACTAGATGTTTTATTATGCATATTTTGGATCTATGTTGCCGATATCTCGAGCATTACACATATTTTAACAAAAGTGTGGTGCGCCGTCAATTCAGGAGACGTCATTTTAACAGTCGTTTTCACGGGAATCGCATCAAAGAAAAATCACTGTATTTCTGGTAGTACTCCAAATATTACGTCCGAACTCTAAATACATAATAATAGAACAATTCAAAGGTACATTTGAGAAAATTGTTGAAAAATATCTCGAATTTTAGAAAATAAATGAGTTAATTTTTTGAATCCGCATGCTTTTCCTTCCGTTTTTTTGTCGTGCGCCGTACCTCTCCATCAACGATATCAACATACCGAAAATTTTAGTAGAATTTTTTTAAAATACAGAAATTTTGCCCAAAATTTATTGGAATCTTTAAGATACATATTTCTGTGAAATTTTATAACTATATGACGTATGTAAGAGTAAATAATAGCACAATCCGCGTAATTTTTGAACGGCCCTCGTATATCAGACTTGGTAAGTCAAAACCATATTCTTTTTTACATGAAGGATTCTATGGAGATAAAATAAGAAAATTATATTTCAACTAGTGCTTGTGATGCATGTTTACTATACTTGTATGTCTATATATATCATACCCATTGTCAAGTGATTGTTGCAGGAAAAGATGAATGCATGTTATCAATTAAATGCATTAATATGAACATACATAATTGATTTGTTGCATAAATTTGAATACTTGCAAGAAAATAATGATACTATTTATATGTTGGAAATGACAAACAATTAACCTATATATTACACATTATACTGATTAGCATTTAGAAATATGTGATGGGCAGCTTATTAAGGTTATTTGAAAAATAATGCATAGTTGCTGGACATTTTTACAGTGGCATATTAATATTTTTTATATACATGTACACATCTTTTATGTGCCCAGATTGATAGATTGGGGGCGCATATTATTTTTGTCCTGACTGTAAACTTTAACCTTCGCCATAAGTGATAACTTTTGAACCATTGAGAGAGAGAGACTTCATATTTGGTATGCATACTCCTTTTAGTAAGTCCTTTCAAATAACACTAAGGTCAATGACTTTGTGACCTTGACTGTGACCTCTATGCTTAAAATAGTTTTCTATTGAATATTCGCCATAATTGAAGAACTATGAGAAATAGAAACTATACATTTAGTATGCATACTCAACTAATTTAGGTTCTTAAAATGACACCAAGGTCTTTGACCTTGTAACCGAGGCTGTGACCCATATGCTTAAAAATAGATTTTTTGAACCTTCAACATAACTTTTGAACCATGAAAGATGGTGACTTCATATTTGGTATGCATTCTCCACTAATTATGCTCTTTCAAAGACACCAACGTCAATGACCCTGTGACCTTTACTGTGATCTATATGCTAAAAATAGCCTTTTTAGACCTCCACCATAAATTTTGAACCATGAGAGATAGATTCTTTATATTTAGTATGCATATTCCACTAAATAATTTCTTTCAAATGACACCAAGATCAATGACCTTGTGACTTTGACTGTGAGTAAAAATAGTTTTTCAAACTTTGTTGCCGCTGGGGGGCATAGTGTTTCAAAAACACATCAATGTTACCCAGGAGAGTAAGTTAATTGTTAGATTGATAGATCATTATTTCTATTAAATACCAATTTATATAGTGTTTCCCCAATATTTCTGCAGCAAAACCTGAAATAATACATGTACTGCAATTGCTTTGCAGCCTTATTGCCGCAACACCTTTCTGGCCATTTTGCCGCAAATCTTATTTACATACGAAAAACGATATTGCAGCAATATTGCTGCAATATACTGCCAGAATGTTTCTACAATATTGCTGCAATATTGTCGC